CTTTTGGCAATAAGCCGCACGGTAAGGGCAACCTTTAGTGAGTTTAGAGAATAGATAGAGTTTTAAATTTTGTAAATCACAAAGTTGTATATACTCAAACCAATATTCAATAAACAAGGTATAAGCTACCCATTAAAAAAAAAAAAAAGAAAAGAAACATTTGAATTATATCTTTGCCTTTAATTTAAGAATCTATCTTTACTTATAGTTATATAATTGGATATAAATAACTCAATAAAGCTTATATCTTTTTATAATATAATAAAAATATTTTATTTACTTTAAAAAACTTATTTTAAAGTTTTAATAATATATATTTAATTAATTTATAATTTAAAATAATTTTAATAATTGATTTATTATTTTTTTTGTAATTAATAAAAAAATTAAAAACTTTTAAATTGTTATTTTTTTTAATTATAATTTAATTATAATAATTTAATATATTTAAAAACTTTTTATATATTTTTATTTTTTATATATTTAAATACATATAGTATATAAACATTTTTAAATATTTTTAAATATAAAATAAAATATATATAATTTTTATATATTTATTTTATATATTTTATTTTAAAATTACAGTATTTATTTTAGGATTTTTTAAATACTTTTAAAGATTTTAACTATAAAAACTTTTAAATAATCTTGAATTTAAAATTCCATAACAAAATATTCTGATAATTTTAAAAAATCTATTTAATTTTTTGTTATAATTAGATTATACATGTAATATAATTTTGTTTGTTATTGATTTAATAAAATCTTTTAAAACAATTGTATTATACAATACTAATTATAAGTAACTTATCTCTTTTTAAAAATTCAATCTAATCCATTTGTATTAAAATATTAAAACTAATCATTTATTACAACTTTTAATTCTTGAATTTTTTTCAAATTTTGTAATTGCTAGAACAAAATTTAGATAAGAAGCAAATTTTATATCCTTTTATATTATTGACAAAAACTTAATATATTTGTTAAAAAATTAATTCCTAAATTTTAAATTTATTTAATTCAAAATATGGCTTTTTGAAATACAGTTTTTATTAATATACTTGCAAAAATTATATTTAATATTATAGCAATTTGAATATCTATATTAAAATAATATATTATTATTATATATTGCTTTTGTTTCTTATAATATTTCTTTTAACTATGGTCTTATTTATTGATAATTTTATATTCTTAATAATTTTATTTATATTATTAGTATAAATATTTTTTCTTCTTGAATAAAAAAGATATAATTTTATTAATTTCTTTTTTTTAATAATATTTATAAAAGTTTACAAGTAAAATATATTTTTAATTATAGCATTTAAATGGTTTAATATATTAAATACATTTTAATACTTTGTATTATTAAATGTAAATTTGAATCTGATTCTATTTGACTAAATTATAATAATTGTTCTTTTATTTTTAAGAAACTAATTATATAAACTAAGAAAAAGTAATTGATATCAAAGCTAATTTTGATTTATCATGTTTTTTATTTTAGCTTAAAATATATTATTATTATCTAATTGTGATTTATTTTGTAATTGATATAAATTAATTTTTGAGAAATAAACTTGATTGAAATTTTAATTTTTTATTCAAATTAGATTTTTATTTAATTATACATTTTTAATTTAGCAAAAAAATCAATTACTATCTGTTAGATTATTAATTCTTGTCCAAGTATAAAAACTATTTGTTAAATATAGCATTTAATAAATTTTTAAGTAGGCAATTCTGCTTTGGTTTTTAAATCTTTTTTTTTTGTATTTATCAACCTCATGTCTTAAAAGGATTCAAATAATGGATTTAATGCACTAGCTTCATTATTTGCATTGGATTCCGCTTTCAAGAGTCCTGCTCAAGTCAAATAGCAAGAAAAAAGCGTAACATGAAAAAAAGAGAGATGATATCAATAGTAAAACTATGTAATTACCTCTAACAACAATTACTGTCCAATTAAAATTGCATAGCCAGCAAGCGAAAAGTGAAATCAGAATTACAAGATATTTTTTTAATTATCTGTATACATTCACACGTACTGTATAAAGTTAAACAATAATGTCGGTGAATTTTTCTACACGGATCGTGATCCAACATCACGTTACCACAAATGCAATATTCTTGATTGACATAATCCTGAGAAATACTAGATAAATTTACCACTGTAAAAGATCAATATCTAAATAATACAATTTAAAAGAGCAAAATAAACATAGTATAGATCAATAGAAACAGGGTTAGGTAGAGATGATGGAATCACAAAATTAGGTGGCATCCCAGAATAAAGGCAATTCAGTTGAATGTTGACAACATTTAGCCCAATCTGCGGGTTGATTTGATTTCCCTGACGGTCAACTGTTCCAAATTCGTACTAAATATAAAATACCTTAATTAATTTTTCATTTTCAGACTTTATGTTAAATAATGTAACATACCACTATAGGGTTTAATGCACCGGCAGCTGTTCGATTATTTATACAGTAATGCCAAGCCTATTTGAAATATAAACATCAGATAGTGAAGCAATTGAGCAGGAATCGAATAGTCTTGTCATTACTTACAGTCATTACTGATGGCCTTGTAGCTGGTGCGATAGGTTCCTCTATTTTAATCGCGATAGCATCATGAGCTCGACCGCCTTGAAGCCAATAGTTTTCTACTTTATTTTTGACATCCACTTCAGATTGTATGTACGCAACCTCCACTACTAGATTCGGCCAGGGCTGGGTCTAAAAATGTAATGTCATTGTCAATGCCAGAAATTTAAACCAATTACATTAAGAAATGAACACTTCATACATCACTTGTGTCGGATCCGCCTCTATTCACTCGAGGTTTTGTCATTGGTCGAAAGGACGCATTCGCTTCTTTGACTGATCCTCGTGATTTTGTTGCTTTTTATCCGGTTACACGTAGTTGGTAGTGGAAAATATTTTAAATCAGAAAAACCAGAAAACATACTCGTTGCTCCAAGATCAAGAATGCCTGCATTAGTGCCCCGCAAATCATCGAATGTTCTATTAATTTCATAGGCAATAGCACTGATACAACTCTCGTGAAATGCCGAGGGAAGTTCAATGACACGGACAGTCCCATTTTCCCATTCCCACCATCCATGAATATTGTGCTTATCCGTTTGTTCGACGTAAGTATCATAAGGAATACCAGTAGCAAGTTCGTATGGTAAACTTGATAATAAATAACAGCTGATATCAGCAATTGACTCATAAAATAGCCAGTTATCGAAGTATATTGAAAGAGACATACGTTGCTTCCTCCCATTTGGCCTTCGGGTGCATATTACCAGTTTTCCACCAAAAAGAACGATACTTTTTTATTTCATCGATACTAGAAATAGAAGTAAAAGAGATGGTGGCAGTCTCCTGGGTCATACTTCTCCATGGAATAATAGAATCCGTATTGGTATCCTTCCCATATGAAGTTGTCAAATTTATTATATTGATATATTTAAACGGAGAAAAATACGAAGATCGCCCGATTAAGATTGATAAACAATAATCACAACACACATATGATACAATAGTTCACGTTACTTTATTATTATGGGTGTCACTGCTTTACAATAAGACATAGAAAAGTCCCAAACTTCGAGACTGTGACTAATCAGACATGTGATCATCCCATTTTTACTCCGAATGACGTTTGTCTTGTACTCTTCCTAACCCGAATGCTAGATATTTGACATTATCCGAACTTGAAATGGGAAATAGATGGTTCAGTAAACGTCTTTATTCGTTAGATATGTGCAATCCCTTGAACTTTATTTCAATAAAGCTGGCCATAATGGCATTTTCGTATATTTAATTGTGATCGTTTTTACATATATAATTTGTATAATTCATTACAATGTCATGTAGAAATATGGTTAATTATATTTTTGAAAGCAGCAAAAATGTTAGATATGATTTTTCGGTTCCTACTTTTAAACAATACATACACAATGTAAATTTTAGGATCACAATTATAGTGACCGAAAAATCCCTGCCCGCCTTCGAAAAGAATTACCCATATATGATCGAGAATTTTCTTGGCAAAATTTCAACGAACTTGGTTCGCCAAAAATCACGCGTTTATTTTCAAATTTTTGAACATATTCGCATCTTGTATAAAATAATGGGAAATCCACAATCCACAATTAAGACATTGAGAGAATTAAATTCTATCTTGTTCACGCACGATCGCTGAACTTAGAAAGATGTCGAGGCTGAGACTATCGAGATTAAATATGAAAATGTCAAAGTCAAGGCCGAGGATATTATGATTAAAGTTGAAAATACAAAGTTAAAACAAACTTTGAAACCAGATTTACGAAACTGGAATGCGATGTTCACTGATCAAGGAACAGTAATCACAAAGCACGAACAGTAATAATTCGCATATTCCGATAAATTTACAAGCACTCATTCTCCTTGGAATAAATTCTAATAGTACGGATATTTCATCACATATCAATGTGAATCGGCTAAAGGCCAAGAGCCAACCTGATGAGGTAGAAGTTATTACTCACAATTCTATTAACCGATATAGACATAGCTCAACCCAATCCGAATCACAAATAAATTTCCGTCTATTGAAACCCTCTCCGATAAAGATGCTGTAAACAAATGAGCTATAACTAGCATTACTCCTGTAATTCTCTACAGATAGTCTAACAAAGCAAGGATGTTCCTGCATCTGTCACACCCGACATAACAAATTCTGGCGTTAGCCTATCTCTGATTGATATATACCACCTATTTGCACGGAGCTAAATCATGGAGGACAGAGATTGATGGATTCCTAGATTCAGAGGATAAAAAAAGGGTTAGAAATGAGATTAGGGAGAGGAATAGGGAAGAAAACGCAGTGTGAATCATCTGGCAAGGAAGCACAATCGATCTCCCAGAATACTGCGTCTACTACTTCCGTGAGCGGAAAAATGAACAGGGCTTGATTTGAGAAATGGTTTTATCCAAAGAAAAAAACATGAGACTGAAATTTCAGCGAACTTGGTTCGTCCAAATAATGAAACTTCAATAACTCCATCTATTCCAATCATGCTCCAGATAATGGAGATATTATTAGTCTACATAAAAGCTCATGTGATGCGGAGATTGGTGCAATCGAGCCAATAGAGAAGAAACACTGCATTGGTATTTCTATGCAAGAGTATTAAAAAGCATGTATAAAGATTTTATGGTCAATAAAGTTGGGAAAAGAAGGCAAAAGGTCAAGTATATGATTTTATTATCAAACAGCTACCGGTCAAGATTCAATATATCAAATCATATAGTGCGGATACTATTTCAAAATTTACTAATTCTCAGATTCAATAGAATGTATTTGTATTGATATAATAAATTTATAGCTGAAAAAATAAAAATTATTCGATTGTTCTACTCATCTAATTTTGAAGCGGTGTCCACAAAGTATTGTCAACTGATTCGAAGATCACAAATTCTCGATCCTATCAATAATTTTACAGTATAGATCATCTGTAATTCCATCATCATTACATCAAGTCTATTTGCAGTGCCACGATTTATCATAAATCCTTTCTGTATCGATCATAATTTATCTAAAAATGACAAGAATCAACTTTATACTGTATCTCTCTGTTTCTGTTTGCCCTTTATTTGATACTGTAATAGACATATACCATTTGGTTAATGTTAATAGCTATAATCTTAGATTATAAATTTGTCCGAAAATAATGCAATTTCCAAGTGAATTTGGTGAAGAAACAAAGAAACTACTTGCATTTTGGCGCGATACTATCCTCGAAAAACATAAAGATGACCAGTGATTATGATTAAATTTGGAGCTTGAATGATATACTGTATGTTTAACTAAATTTGAATGGATATTTAAAAAGTTAACAATCTACCTATGTTTTTTTTTACAATAACCTTTTTGCATATACAGTACAGTGGCCTATCAATGAATTGTGGACACTTTTGAAATCATAATTGCTTCATATTGGACAAATAAATTTTATATGAAATTTTTGTCATGTGTTTGATAACTTCCGGGGTACAACATACTAAAATTTTATGTCAATTGACTATGTTGTGCAAAAGTTATGCAATAAGCAAGACAAATTACTGTTTTTAGGTTAGAGCGAAAATCAATTTCCTTTTTTCTTTAAAAAAGTTTTTTTTTCCAGTTTTTTCTTCTCAAGGTCGTTCGTGACACTTAGTTAATACTACTTTAAGCAAAAAAGGTAAGTTTGTATAACAAGTCAGTTGAAATTAAATAAAATGAGATTTTTTTTTTCACAGTGATCGATGGGTAGCAAGAAAGATCTCATGGAGGTTCAACGAAGTTCTATAGTCTATGGTCACTTACGAGATAATTTGCTCCACACTATTGCAGCCGTCGTTGGTTGCAGCAAGTTGACAGTGTGGAATATTGTAAGGAAGTTCAATAGTTTGGGTGCCTCTAAGGCACAAAAAAAAAAGCCCATCCTAGACGTCCTTTGCTCCTCACCCCCTCTGATCAGTTAAGTCTAAAGTAGTTAGTCATTAATGGCAACTGTCATCTAAATCTCACCCAAATAACCAACCTCTTCAACATTAGGAACAAAAAAAAGTTTTCACAAATACGATACGTTGTGCATTGCACAAAGCAAACCTGAGGTCCTGTGTCACCATTCCAAAGCCATTGATTTTCTCTGTGAATACAAAAAAAAGGCTGAATTGGTCTCTTGAACACAAAAACTGGTCTTTAGAGAGATTCAAGTGTGTTATGTAGTCAGATGAGATTACAATCTGCCTCTTCCAAGGTTCTCCCGGTCATGCCTGGCGCGAACTGGATGAAAAATAGAAAATTGATTGTGTTAGCTCCACTATAAAACAAAGTCCAGGCTGTATGTATTGGGGCTGTTTCTCGTGGTTCGGCGTTGGGCCCCTCGTTCCTTTGAAATCTAATGCAACTGCTACATCACATGTCAAAATCCTCAAAAGCTATGTTCTATTTGCAATAAAAAAATTTTTGGGAAGAAAACATCGTGGTCATCCAGTTTTGCAACAGGATAATGTCAGACCTCACTTCGCTAGAGTAGCGAAAGAATATATTGCTAAAAATCAGATTTGTGTGATGGATTGGCCCCCACAGAGCCCCGACCTCAACCCGATAGAAAATATGTGGACTGAGGTGAAAAAATCAGTATGTCGCAAGACAAAAAAACCAAATAATCTTGAAGAATTGGATGACTTTGTTATAAAGGCATGAAATGAAATCCTGTTCGAATATTGTCATTGACTGGTTATTAGTATGTCCAATCAGATTAAGGCATGCATCAAAGCTAAGGAGGGATCTACAAAATATTAATTTTTTTTAAGAAAAATAAAAAATAAAATAAAATAAAATAAAATAAAAAAAAAAAAAGAGATTTTTAATTTCACTCAAATAAAAAAAACCAAGTCTGTGGATTTTTTTATATAACTTCTGTGCGAATAAACCAAATTGTATAAAATTTTAGTATGTTATAATGTGGTATTTGCCAAACATGTAATAAAAATTTGGTATTACATTTACTTACCTGATTTTGAGTAATTGAGATTTCAAAAGTGTTCACAATTTATTGATAGGTCACTGTATATACAATATTGTTAGCACTAACAGCAAGTCTATCACTAACTCAATTTCAACACCCATATCATATTAGTGTCAAGAATGAGTAAAGTCTCCTCTTTACACCTGAGGTTGATTGCTTTTACTTTGCCTTAATTAACAAACTAATGTTTATATTGACTATAGCTAGGCAAAATTAAATGATTTTTACAAGAAAGATAAGTTTATTAATTACTATTGCACAATTTACAAAAGTGAAAATGGTAATTAACTTCTTAATTGCTATTTTATTTTATTTTAACTATAGTTATAACAATTATTTATATTATTTGCATATATTTGCAAATTGATTCTTATATCATGCAAATTTATCATAAGCTTGATAAACTTTTTATCTCATACAGATATATAATTTAATGTATCAGTTCCTTATATTGTGTTTTTATTTATGTTTTATGCTATACATTTCTCCATTATATTATTTTTCATATTAACAATATTAATTATTTGTTAAATAGATTTATATTAAATTTTGTAATTACTGGTTTTATTTTAAAAATTTTTTAAAAAAATAAATCTTATAACAAAAAAAATTCACTTGTAATATCTTTAAATTGATTGAACTTTTTTATTTTTTTTTATTTATATATATTTTAATACATATATTGTTATTTGTACTGACAAGTCTGTTATTAATTTAAGACTTGTATAATAGCAAGTAAATGAATCTTTATTACTTGCAATATCAAAAAAAAATATTGTATAGATAATAATAAAATTAATTTTTTTTCTTTTCTGCTTGTCCTTACTTCTAATT